AAGAACAGAATGACGATTTATTTTTAAAAAAAAGTTGTCGAGGTCAGGAGCCCCCCCTGAAGAACAGAATGCCGATTTATTTTCAAAGTTGTTGAAATCTCGCCCGCCTGAAGAAAGGAATGGCGATTTATTTTTAAAAAACATGTTGTTGAGGTCAGGAGCCCCCCTGAAGAACATAATGGCGATTTATTTTTAAAGTTGTTGTCGAGGTCAGGATCCCCCCTGAAGAATAGAATGGCGATTTATTTTCAAAGTTGTTGAGGTCAGGATCCCCACTGAAGAACAGAATGGCGATTTATTTTCAAAGTTGTTGAAATCTCGCCCGCCTGAAAATAGGAATGGCGATTTATTTTTAAAAAAAATGTTGTTGAGGTCAGGAGCCCCCCTGAAGAACAGAATGGCGATTTATTTTTAAAAAACGTTGTCGAGGTCAGGATCCCCCCTGAATAACAGAATGGCGATTTATTTTTAAAGTTGTTGAGGTCAGGAGCCCCCCTGAAGAACAGAATGGTGATTTATTTTCAAAGTTGTTGAAATCTCGCCCGCCTGAAGAAAGGAATTTTTTTAAAAAAAATGTTGTTGAGGTCAGAAGCCCCCCAGAAGAACAGAATGGCGATTTATTTTTAAAGTTGTTGTCGAGGTCAGGAGCCCCCCTGAAGAACAGAATGGCGATTTATTTTTAAAAAAAATGTTGTCGAGGTCAGGAGCCCCCCCTGAAGAACAGAATGGCGATTTATTTTCAAAGTTGTTGAGGTCAGGAGCCCCCCTGAAGAACAGAATGGCGATTTATTTTTCAAAGTTGTTGTTGAGGTCAGGAGTCCCCCTGAAGAACAGAATGGCGCTTTATTTTCAAAGTTGTTTTGAAGTTGGGAGCCCGCCCATATAACAGAGGAATACATTTCAGTCTTTAAATTTCAAAGTTTTTAAGTTGGGAGCCCGCCCATATAACAGAGGAATACATTTCAGTCTTTAAGTCTCAAGTTTTGAAGTTGGGAGCCCGCCCATATAACAGAGGAATACATTTCAGTCGTTACATCTCAAGTTTTGAAGTTGGGAGCCCGCCCATATAATTGAGGAATACATCTTAAGTCAGTAAAGCAGAAGAATACAACCGGAATCCCCAGCGGGAAACAACAAAAATCCCCAGCAGAGGAAGGAAGTCCAAGACTCGATGGAAAAATAATGCGAAGCTCCCAAAAAGGACATAAGCAGGTCGAGATCGACAGTCAAGGGAGAATACAAGACAAATCAGAAGTAAAGAAATGCCAGAAGAGTCGCCAAGACATCAAAGCAACAAGAGACACAAGAACATGATTGAAGATCTAGATAAGATTTTGTAATTCATAGACTATGGTCTAGTCTAACTTTGTGTTTTCTTTTAGCACGGTGTAATAAGGTGGTCGGCAAGCAGTAATAACAGCATGCAACAGCAGTAACATTGCAGTCCCATGGTAGTCCCAGCTATCAAAACTTCCCAAACTACATTAACCTGATTCCCTTCTAGCCAGGGATATGTAGAAAACCTTTGAAACAAAGGTTCGGTTAAATCTTTTTCAAAAAAATGTTTCACACGGAGTACTCAGATGGGCAAAAATCGCTCACTTTATCTTTGCACGAAAACTCTTCGTGTTTTCGGACAAAGAGGGGCAGCTGTAAGCACGTGATTTTTGCCCTATATGAGAATTACTCCCAAAAAATTCAAATAAAATAAGTTTCCTTTGTGTGCAATTTTTGAATTTTTTGTGGCACTTTTGGATAATAAAAATATAAAAATATGTCGCGTTTGCATTTAATATTTAATTAAGTTTGTTTCACAAAATAAAAAAATCATAAAAAATAACGTTCGTTGCATTTTTAGCATTTAACGTCCAAATTGTGTGATTTTATCGTTAATTGCTATTTAAATGTGCGATAATTGTTGTTAGAAGTTAATTAGTTTTTATTAGATAATTTTGAGTTTTATAATTTAATCTTAGCATTTTTAGCTTTATTAATTAGGAAATTGAATAAATAGAAAAGAACAAAAATAGAAAAAGACCGGATTGGCCCTTTTCTTCAATTTTAAACC